AATCTGGCATTCTGATCCGCCGGTAGTGGGAAAAGAATGCTACTTATTTCGAGATTCAATGGCAATCACGGATAGCGTCAATATGGCTAACTCTGAGAAAAAAAATAAAATAAATATTAAATCCATACATTTTAAATCTGAGTATATCTATTCGTTCCAAATATTCTACGTGCATTGAAACAGGAATTATCGACGCGCAAATGGTAATAAATAGCACGATCGAAATCATAAAAACGAACAACGTTATATATTCGGGAAGAAACTGTGACTAAATATGAAAAGAAAGATTTAAAATTAAAAGTGCCATTGGAATTTCCAATTTCGATCACGTTACAGTACACAGAAACATTCTTGATTTATATTTTAATATTGACTGTTCTTTTGACATTTTGTTTCTACACGACTTATTTATTATCCACAATTTGTAACGACTACTACAATTTGTTATCTACTGCACTAGAAGTTAAACAAAATCACTCGGTCTGCCAACCGTTTGTGACGGATTTTCTTTATGCCGTAATTTTGTATAACGCTAAAGATGGTTTAAAGCAGCTGAAACGTTCGTTTTTGATATTTTCAACTTAAAAATATCTTTATAATTACGCACAGTTAACTGCGTTCGAATCTGATTAGCCAAATCATTCTACTGTTTTTGTTTGTTGATATTTATTCATTCAACAATTAATCAGTAATATTTGAATAATAATCACTGTATGATATTCTATTAGCATTCTCGTTATATCGTATTTGCATTGAAAATATACTATCAATTTCATACGTAACATTGCAATTATGAAAATCTACTATCAAGGAGTAGCGTCAAAAATAACGGGTCGCATTTCTATCGAAAAACATCCAAGAAAGATTTCATATATATCGTGCGAAATGCACACATTTCCGAGAGAATTACAACATTTGATGAAGCCATGCGTGATATTCGCTGGCGGTAACTGCGTGCAAGGTTCACAGCGCGGACAAATGTAGTAGCAAGGCGCATAGGTTCACGAACGTAGGAAGCAAGAGGTGGCATTAACTCGCGCCTCGTTAAATCTTAGAGGTACGCCTTGCGGTAGCAACGGCAGCCAGGGCAGCAATGTTGGAGAAGCACGGCTTACGGGTCACGGCGTGCGAGACGAGGAATCGATGACACTACTGTATGCAGTTTAATGAAATCAACTACCACATATTCCGTCATTCTAATTTCTCCGACAAAAGGAATGCTGAAGCACGTAATACATACAGCACACTGATGGCATCTCAAAAACGTTGAATTGCAACATTGCGAATGTTGCATCAGTATTGCATCAATGCAGATACATTGTAACGTCGTAAATACATTGCAGAAACGTTCAATGTCCATTGAATCTAGTATCTAATTCATCAGACGTTGCATTTCAATTTCATTCATTCAACATTGATTCAACGTATATGTGTATACACATAGATTTTATTTTCATAGACTTTCAAGTTTTTAATCATAATTTTGTTGCGTACATTTTCATAATCAATAATACTTACTCTACCAATAAAATTGGATTATAATAATATATAGAAATTTCTTAATGAAAAATTTTGTCTACATTATTATAATCCAATTTTATTGCCATCATATATCAAAATATACACACGACAAAATTACGATTAAAAACCTTTCTCCCTGAAATCTGAAGTTAATTTCATTCGAAGCGGTCCAAGTTACTCGTAATGTTATTATGACCTGCATTTTTGCGTAGAAAAAAATCAAATAGCGTTCTGGTAAGCGAAGATGCACAACCATAGCGGTGTCATTACGGTTAGATACCGCCATTTGGACAGTTACGCGAACTACAAAGTCCACTTTACTGTCGGTAAAACGACGCAATATTCTCACGTCCTTTGCGAACCTTATAGTCCAATAAATTCCTCGATGTCGCACGCTATCGCGCCCGAAACGCCTGAGTTCCCACTATCTTCGGTCGCTACCTACAAGACGGTAACTACAAGACAATTTATAGTGCTCGATACACGCAATCCTCGCGCTCGTGCGCGATTTTTGTTCGACTGGATCGTATCAGCTTTCGAGGAATCTCGCGGAATCGTAAAATGCCCGATAACGCCGGCAAGCACTCTCGACACAGTTGACACGGGGATTTCGAAAGCATCTGCCGATTTCTAGTCGCGGCTGTGATTTTTTTTTCGCTCCTCGGTAAGCCGATTTGTGCGCAAATTCGATGGCGCGCGGTTTTTTTTACCGTTGTCAAATTCATCAGATCGAATCCGTAAACGCGATTGCCGTCAAAAATCCCGTTCGAAAACAGCCGTTAGCGAATTTCGGTTGGTGTAAAAAAAAAAAAAAACAACTGCTTCACGCGCTAACGCATCCGTTTTACGCGTCTCGTCGTACGAAAATACAACACCGCGTCGCATGATTTGACGGCGCGTTTACGCATTTTCTCGCGGCACGTGAAGATGCCGCGTGCCGATCCTGATCAGCGCGCCCAGAAGAAGCGACGTGGCCGTAATCTGGACGGGTATGAAATATTGATGACCCGGTCGTGATGGCGGGAACAGTTAGGGCCCGTTCATTTGTTTGGATGCGATGACGACTTTTTGGCGCGCGGCAAAACGGGAATCCCTTCCATAAATATGCACCGTTACGATCATATCCGCAACGATAACGTATATGCATGTTCGATACATTCGTATGCGCACATCGCGGCACGTGATCGAATTTCAAATTTCAGAGAAATATTTCCCGCGACAAGCGATACAAGAATATGGCTGATTCGAAGAGGTATTCAATCAATCTCGCGATGCGCGATTTATCAACGATACACGATTGAATTGACATTTATGATCGATCGGGCTATCATTAGTAAGAGTTGTAGAAAGTGCAAATATAACGTATCGAGGCAGGTAGACGTAACTTTTATTCGGTATTGCTACTACGTATAGCTGTTATACTCGTATATAAGTGTAAAGTTTAAACATTTTATTACGACATTAATTACAACATTAGCTACACCTAAGCAGATCAGTGTCACAAGCGACACGATATTGCAATAGTTCAACGTCGAAAGCCGTAAGTACATTCGAATCGTCTCTGTTACATGGCTTTCTTCGTTTCACTTGAACCTAATTAATATTCGCGAAGCGTCTACGATGTTGTCTGCCGCGGCGTCGATCAGCTTGTGAATAATAATAATCCCGCGCCGCGCTCGGAACACTCGGCCGAGTACGCTGCACGCACACGCGTGTCGTCACCGTGGCGTGGCGTGGCGAGAGAATTCGACGATGGAATTACGTCCCATTGATTTCCCGTATATAACGCTCCTGAAATAAACGTCCGGTCAGTCGGACCACCCGTAAACACCAACCCGCACGACGCGACGCGACCGGCTCCGCGCGCTTAATTTATTTATACGTCAACCCAGCGACACTCCAGCCCATTGATACTCCCGATATCAATCGCCCCAATACTCCCTCCGTGCCTCTTCGTGCAACGCCAAGAATTTTTATGCGTGTGATTACGCGATATTGTGCACGAATGTCCCGCTCATCACACAGAAAAACTATAAATTCGCCAAAATATATATTCTGCTTGAAGGAAAGAGCGCTTTAACAGTTTCACGTACTCTGAAATTCTTGTTAAAAGATTCTTTATTAAAAGAAAGCGTTAAAAATTAAGGAGAAGAATGAGACCTCTAATTATTCAAAAAAACTAGCTTCTCGTTTAACGTAATACATTAATTCTAATATAGTGAAACTAGTTCTCCGAGAAATAACTTTTACGTGCTGTTTCTGTATAGTCTATAAATTTGGTTTGCATATGTGTACGTACACGCACAAATTACATTTAAACGTACATGTATATTTTTTATTATTCTCTCATTTCGTGTATATATACTACACTAT